CGGGGTTTCAGCAGGCCCAGCCTTGCCTACTGTATTGACAAAAATATCATTTCCTAGGCAAGGGGATCAACCCCAACAGACGCAGCACACAACCCTGCTCGGCTGTGTTTGTCACTGTGTGCGTGCCCCGAGAAAGCCAAAAGCCCAAGGGGTTTCAAAAGCCTCTGGGATCCTAACGTTACCCCCCCAGGAGGGATTGCAGCCCCGGCCGGCTGCTGGGGATGCTCAAAAACTGCATTTACCCCTAACTTGCAAACTCACTTTATCAAACGATTACAAAATAAAAATCCTTGAGGACAGACGTGGCAGTTTGCTGCCGGGAAGCGCCGATGGTATGAACCCATGGTCCACGTCCCAGAGCCGACGCGGCCCCAGCGCGAGGCACGGCTGTTACTTCCCTGTTATTAACAGTAATAGATGTGCAGCAGTAATGTGAACACAAAAACCATGTGACAGTTATGACAGCTCAAGGTCTGATATTTTAATTACTTTTTGAAATGAAAACAGTAATTCCAGTTAAAAGCCAAGGGTGGAGGATTTCAATCGACGGCTGCTCAGCACCCGCATGCAGCAGAGCCGTCAGCTCCAAGGCACCCACCCGAGGATGGGTGCCAGACCACCGGCTGCACATCATCTGCCCAAGCTTTACCTATTTTTCCCTGTGTCCATTTGACAGAGGTTTGCATGGATTTGGTTTCTCCATCCGCACCACGTGAAATCCCTCCGGCGTTTGCAAGGACCGTCGCAGAGAGGTTACCTGGTGAGCCAGGTCCCCGCCCCAGCCCAACAAAAATCAGGCATGGAAAACACAGCAAGGAGGGGAAAAAACAGAGGGTACACAACACCAGCACCCAGGCAAAGCGCTAGGCAGGACTTCTCCCAGAATCCCTCTTTCTAAACCCAAATACTGGCTGGCCCGTGGGAAAAAATTTACAGGGGAAAAAAAAAAAAAAAAAAAAAGACGACATGGCCTTACAATTGCACACAGGGGCCTCTCCACCAGCGCCCCGGAGCTGCCCCCTCCTTCCCTCCCCACCACCCGGCAGCGATTTCCACTGAAGCCCAAGTTCAGCCCAGCCTGCAAGCGAAGGATGCTCTGGCTGGCAGCGCCCGGGTCTGCAAACCTGTTGCACGGCCGCACAAGGCAGGTGGAGCCCCAAAAAGCGGATTTTGGGATGCAGAGCCCTGCATTCATTAACTGCATCTGTTATCCCCACCCCACGGGGCAGGAGGACCAGCCCAGGTGCGGGGGGTGGATAAAGCCTTTCCGTAGGGATAAGCAAGGAAGGCATCGCCCACAACCTCTCCTTAGGGCTGAGGAGATGTGAAAGCAGAAGGAAGAAAGTCTCCCCCGTAGGAGTGGATGGGCTTTCACCTCCTGGCTCTATGAACCAGAGAAAAAAATTTTTTTTTTTTTTTTTTTTTTTTTAAAAATTGTATCCCACTGCATGGTGTTATTCAAGAGTCATTAGCATGTTACCCGTAATTAGGAACGAATGGGTTGTGTCAAATTCATCATGCTCCTGGATGGCTCCCTTTGATCAGCAAATTATCCCATAAAAAAAGTTTGTAATGTCTCAGACACTTACATCAAGAGCTGACGCTGTCGGCTTTGCCCTCCCCAAGAGCAGCAGCAGCACATTTCAGGGCTGAGGAAGAGGATGGCGGCCCAGGCCTTGCTGGGG